CCCAGCCTTACCCACTCACACCCATCACAACAGCCCAGCCTTACCCATCCACCCATCACAACAGCCCAGCCTTACCCACCCATCAGAGTGATGCAGCTTTCCCCACCCCGCAGCCATCATAACACCTTCCACAGTTGGTTCACTGACTCACATTCACATAAGCTATGTAACATATACAACTGAAAAATTACACCCTACAAGTGTAAATTATAGCTGTACATCTCAGACACAGACATAATGCCCAGTGCTCTTTGCAGAGGTTTTTGTGTGTTCATTCATCTTTTTAAGCAGTTCACTGAGAGATCATTTTAATCCCTATTTTACATAGAGAAACTAAGGCATAGAAATGTTTAGTGGCTTGCTGAAAATCACACAGATAGTAGGTAGCAGAGTAGAAATTTGGATTTGGAAAGCTTTTATTAACTATGCTATCTTTTAATTATAAGTACAAGAAAAAATATATCCATTTTCATTAGGTACAAACTATATTCATCTTATAAAATGTAAGAGGAAATTCTTGCTACAAATAAAGGGGGAGGAATGATAGGATTAATTCAACAGGAAGATATACCACCCTAAGTGCACTCTATAACACAACTACAAAACAGAGAAAACACAGCTCAGTGGAACAAACACAATACAAAGACAAGTCCACAGCGACAGCTGATGATTTTAACACACCTTTGTCAGTAAGCTGATAGAACCAGCAAGGCACACGCACAAACCCATCTGACAGTTATCATCTTAACTGACGACTGAGAATTCATACTTTACAGTGCTTATGACACGTTCACCAACATCGACCGTGCTAGATCATAATACCTAAGACTCAGCAACTCTCAAAAAGACTGAAGTCATACATAATGTGTCCTCAGGCCACAGCAAAATTCATCCCATAACTGATGCCAAAAGAGTATCCAGAAAACATCCAAATATGTTGAAATTAATAGCACAGCTCTAATTGAGGGCTCAGAGAAGTCACAGCTGAGGTGTTGTAATGTGGCGGTGAAGACATTGCAGTGCACAAAACGGCGACACAGCGAAAGCAGGCCTGAGAGAGGGATCCACAGCCTTTGCAGGAGAAAAAGGTTGGACAGCTGTAGCTTTTTATCAGAAACTGAGCAGAAATACAGCAAGTCGCTCCCAAAGAAACTTAGAAATTAAAATGTAAGCTGAAATCAGGTGTTCAATAAAAACAGAACGAAGAGGGGATTCTTTAAAATGACAAATTAGAGTGAAGCATAAGAAGTCCCTTCTCGCCCTTGTCCCCAGCACTCACAGTAAGACTATGTCCCCATGAAGTGGGGTGTTGAAGCCGTCTTCCTCCATACGTGCCATATCCCCTGAGCAGTGCTAGCGTGTCAGTTCCTCTTTTCTAACTATTCTCCTGTCTCTGTTTGTTCCATGCTAAGCAGACGGCCCAGAAATTAGCCAAAAGCAGGAAGAAGGTGCAGTACAAACAACTTCATCACTTGGTGTTACGCCTGTCCTTTTCTTTTACGTTTTGCCTTTTTATGATTTCGTGTTTTTGTTTTCTGCATCCAGCAAGTTTTTGTTCCAATTTCGTTTTGAATCGCTCCATAAGCCAGCCTTTCTCCAAACTTAGTTGCCTCAAGTGGCCATTTTCTGTTGCTCATTTGGTCATCTCACTTCAGAGGAATGACAGGGAGCAGATTGGAGATGCTAAATGAATCCTCTAGTGTGGAAGCTGCAGCCATTCAGGAGCAATGATGTGGCAGGGACCTGGGACTACGCAATTGCAGTACATTCGATTTGAGGATTTCTCAGATTGCTGGATGCAAAAACAGAAAACTTGCTAATAACCACACATGTGCAGGGTTCAGCCCTAAACGAGCCAGGCTGCATTTTGGGATTGCAGAGCTTCTAGGTATTTGTAAATTACTCTGAGGATGTGAGGCATTGGGGGCTCTTTTGGAATGGGGTGGCTTCAGGAGCAGGCAGCTGCTTCTGTTGCTGTGGTGATGTGTGAACGCGAAGACCCTCTTACCAGAACGGCATCCAGTGGCTTCATTTGTATCTACTCCAGACATTGCCCTCAGTCAGCTCTGACAGGGTAAACTGAGTGACCGTCCCAAGGTCACTGTGAGTTAGCTGCTCTTACTCTTTAACCCCCAAAACCCTTGCAGAAAGGGTCTCTTGTCACCATGTCAGATTAATCTGCTGCAATGAGTGCCACGGTAAGGCAGCAGCCGAGGGGACTCCACATTTCCCCTGTAACATAGAGATGCGTCCATCCTCTCTGTAGTACCTTCAGCTTTGGCAATTTTACCCTTGAGTCTGTGTTGCCGTTCTGGTGACTGTGTCTTGGTAACCCAGTGTGTGAGCTAACCTTTTCCCATGCCCCTGGGTTCAGGTAATATAATAAAGCTTCCTTTGATGCACTTTCTTCTTAGGCTCCTGAAGGCGAATCTCAGCCAATGACTGAGGTGGATCTCTTCATTTCTACCCAGAGGATCAAAGTATTGAATGCAGATACACAGGTACCAGCTTGCTCCCACCTTTCTCAAGGGTAAAGGTCAATGGGATTATTCTAACATAGACTCCCCTGCCTGTAAAGTGGCTATCCCCTGGTGTTGGACTGCTGTAATTTGTGTGCTGGGTTCTGGAAACCTGACTGGGACGACAAGGGAATTAAGAAAGGAGGCACGCACATACAGAACAGCTGGGATTAGTAGACCAGGTGCTCTGATGCAGATGAACCAGCGGCAGCCTAGAAACTCGGTGTGTTTATTCTCTATGTCTGAACAAGGAAACAGCAGGAGGTCTCTTTAGGGGAGCAGTCTTAGGCTGTAAACACTGGGGAGGGCAAAACTGGGTTCTATATTCTATGCAAGTATTTTGTCAACATTGACACATGGACCAGGAGAAGGCTTTGCCATCCCCTTGGATCTGAGATATTGGGATCTCTGATGTAGCGGTGCTCATATCAGTGATACACGTTCACTCAGGGCTTCAGTCAGAAACAAAGAACTTGGTTCACAAATGGCTGATGCTAGGTAGGGCTGTGACTAATTTCTTCAAGCACAAAGGAAAACGCAGAATGTGTGTGTTGTCTGTCACTCAAATGAGTTCTCTGGGAGGCGGGACTCACTAGCCTTAAGAAATTCTATTTAAAAGTGTACAGCATACATGTGCACATACACACACACACACACACACACACACACACACACACACACACACACTGGCATTTAGATTTTATCTTTTCAGCTTCACCACCAGAGACTCTACAAGGTGTAAAATGTTTAATATTGCTTCTTTTTTTCCTGAACATATCTCCTCTTCTTCACTGGCCAAGGAAAATGCCTCAGGCCTGGGAGTGGGATTCAGAGGTCTGGCAGTGAGAGCCTTGTCCTGGCCCACCCCAGCTGGGTTCCATCCTCAGCCTGTGTGAGGAAAGAAGATCCCATCTCCTGATTCTTACATCCTACGTGCCACTCACCTGCTTCACCTGTCCTTCACCTCTAGGAGCCTATGATGGATCACCCTCTGAGGACCATTTCCTACATCGCAGACATTGGGAACATTGTCGTGCTGATGGCCCGCAGACGGATGCCCCGTTCCAACTCTCAAGAGAACGTGGAGGCTTCTCACCCATCCCAGGATGGAAAAAGACAGTACAAGATGATCTGCCATGTCTTTGAGTCTGAGGACGTAAGGCTGCTTTCCCCAACGTCCCTCTGGGTGACCTCAATAGTCACTAAGTGGCCAGTTTCTCAGGACCCGAGTCAGTCTGGCTCATCATACGTTAAACATATTTATTGAGCACCTGCTGTATGTCAAGCACTGTTCTAGAACTGCAGGTGTAGGGTGTTACTCTGTGCAGACTAAAGGGGCAGAAGATAGAGGTAAATCAACTTAGTAAATTAGACATGGGGAATGCTTTGCTGAAATACAAAACGGGGTCAATGCACAGAAGGACAGGACTAGTTCAAGTAGGGTGCTCAGCATAATACATTTTTTCTTCAAGGACATGACATTTGTCCAGAGACTTGAATAAAATGAGAAATAGCAAGTGCAAAGGCCCTGAAGCAGGAGAGTGCCAAGTTTGCTTGGGGAGGAAGAGTCAGCAGGCCAGTCTAAGCGGGTCTTCATGGCACCAGAGTGTTTGCAGAGAAAAGTTTGGAGCTGTACAGAACTGTCCTGCTGACACAGTTAGTGCCCCTCTTCCTCCCAGCCCAAGGACAGGAGCATCACCCGCTAGGTCCAGACCTTACAAAAATATTTGCTGCTCGGTAGCAATCCAGAATTTCTGACCCCATTCTCACAGGAGGTGAGGTCAAATGAAGACAGATACGTTCACAGAGAGGTACCCCTTCGTCCACTGTGGCTCTGCTCTGCACTAGCCCCTGACCTCCCCAGACACCATCCCTCCTGGGACTTGCTTACCTAGCTGCAAGAAATTGCCCTCCTCAAGAAGTGAGGAGACCAAGGCAGTCCAGGAAGCCAGGAGATGCTGACACTGATCTTCAAGCCTTAAGCAGCAATGCCTCTTCCTGACTCCCTTTGCACTGTGCTCTAAGGCTGCGGCAGTGCAAGAGAAGTAAGCGGGGCCAGGAAAGTTCATGAGTAAAATTGTAGAATCTTTAGGCTCCTGGTTCCTGCAGGACAGAAAAGGCTCACTAGCCTGTAGGATCCTCGCAGGACCCCTGCTACCTTCATCTCGCATAGAGTTCATAAGGAGAGCTTTCTTCCTCTACATTTTAGCTCCACTAGAGAAGAGCAGAAAGAACCTAGTGACTTCGTTTCCACTATAATCTGAAGCAAGTGTATTGTTCCGTAGCTGAGGGATGAGCTGGGCTGGACTGGGCCCCTACCCCATGAACAAGCAGGCACAGGATGTCTGTGTGTGCACAAAGACCAAAAGAGGGTGTTGGGTAGCATCCTCCCTCACTTTTCCACCTATGCCCCTGAGGCAGGGTCTCTGCTGCAGTCAGGTTCACACTTTCTCATTCAGGCTGGAAGTCAGCAGGCTTACTGCCTCTGCTACCCTCTTGAAGCTGGAATTATAGATATGCACAGCTTGCTACGTTAATGGCAGAATTTTAGTCCAGGCCTCATGGTTATTCAGCAAGCACTCGTAGCCACTGAGCCATGTCTCCAATTCCCTTTATTTTCTACAAAATAATTTATAGCCATTAAGTGTAATGAAAAAGGAAAAGAGTTCAGATAAAGTCATGATACTATAAAGGCGTGGACTCGGCCATTCCAAACAGTAGCACGAAGCAGCCAGATGTTGGCATCTGCTTACTTAAGTTTGGCTGTGACAGCTGTACTGTATTTGGTGCAATACTGTAGATACTCTCTACTCAACGTTTTGAGTGGAGGACCAAGCAAGAATCCATAACCTGTAAACATACGCAGAGGCTCTGTGTGCCACTGACAGGGATGTGATCACTGACAACTCGTACCATGGCCACAAATGATATGGGTGATTTTGAAAGATGTGAAACTTACTTATAAAATCTCAAAGGACCAGCTTCCTTCCCTTTGCACAGTATTATTCTTACAATGTGCAGGATAGCCAGAGCCACCCAATGAGTCTTTGTATTTAAACAGAAACTAGAATCCAGTCATGGATACAGTGATTAGAAACAGATGTTACATATAATCAGTGTCCAGTGGGATATCCAAAAATTATACCGGATGTAGAATAACTCTGTCATTGTGTATTGTCCTTTTTATAGTAGGATGTCCAGCATTTCTGACTTCTGTCTACCAAGTGCCAATGACTCCCTTATGGGTACTGTCGTAAGAAACATACTGATTTTTTTTTTCAAATAGTTCCTGGTAGGCACTGGTACCCTGGTATAGAATGTCTGAGTGACCTGCTATTTAGAACCCTCAAATGCCACAAGGACTCATCCAGGGGCGCATGTGCCAGGAACTTCCCCATTCACTGCTGTCTTCCCCTGTACTGCCGCTATAGGCCCAGCTGATCGCGCAGTCCATAGGGCAGGCATTCAGTGTGGCATACCAGGAATTCCTCAGGGCCAACGGGATTAACCCGGAAGACCTCAGCCAGAAGGAGTACAGTGACCTGCTCAACACCCAGGACATGTACAACGATGACCTGATCCACTTCTCCAAGTCGGAAAACTGCAAAGATGTAGGTACTTCCCAGGACTTGTTCCCTGGCCGAGCCAGCCGGCTGGGTCCTAGAGGGTGGGGCAGCCCTGCTGTGGAAGTAGAGGCTGGAAACAGTGGTGTTGTCAGGGCATTCTGTGGCTCTCACATCCGTCTCTGGCTTCCTCCCAGGGAACCCTGTCATTAAGTACTTTGAAAATAAGTATAAATGATAGGCTGCACATCCTCTACCCCTTGAGAAAATTCTATAGGTGTGGAGACAGCCTGACCTCTGTCCTTACAAAGCTCCCTGGGAAAGGGAGCTGAAAATGGTCAGTGTCGTGCCAGCTCAAGCACTTGGCAAAACAGAGATCACGTGATCATACAATAGGTGCTTCTCCCTCTGATGTTTCAGACTGAGCTCCGCAGGAGTGTCTGGAGGGAGGCAGGGCCAACCAAAGTGGTCTGGAGTTTTAGGTCATTGCAGTATTCAGGGGGAGCAGAGAGGGGAGGGGTAAGGAGCAGTAACAGAATGCTGGGACATCAGGAAGGAGGTGACTCAGACAGAGCAGAAAGTAAACACAGAAGAAGACGAGAGACAGTGTACCAATCTGAAAACCCAGAAAGATTTTATCCTCCAGATAAAATGAACTTTGAATAAGAACGTGGACTTTGGACCCATTAGGTGTCTTGAGTCAGGCTCCTTGGACCACAGCCTAGAAGAGGATTCTTGGTCAAGAGGTCCAATGGAAACCTGCACTCAGAGCAAACGGAGAGTGGGGGAGGTACTGAGGAGGAGTATGGTCTTGCTGGCCATGACCTTACTTCTGAATCACAGGGCAGGGGACCCGGAGGTAGGTGTACCCTCTGTCCCATATTGACCTGGGATGGGCAGGGATATATTCATCGACTAGGGCTGCCATCGTCCGCCCCATAGGCGAGGCAGCTCCAGCAACAGATAGGAGTTGTCTTTTGGTTCTAGGCTGAAGTGCAAGGTTGAAGTGTTGGTAAGCCTGGGTCCTCAGGGCTGGGAAGAAAGGCTGGGTTCACACCTCGCTCCTTGGCTCTCAGATGGTCTCTTCTCCTCATGTTCTTGTGTCACCTCCCATGTGCCCACAAGAGCAACAGTCACACTGGATCAGAGCACACTCTAATGTCCTCAGTTTATCTCGGTTACTCAGTTTACCTTTGCTCCATGTGAAGGCACTGAAGGAGGCACTAAGATTAGAACCACAGCACAGGAATTCAAGTATGGGGAACACTCCAGTGCGTAACAGGAATAGCTCCCACTTGGCTGTGGGAGATGCTTCCGGGAAGGGGCCCACTTCTCCCTGAGCTGCTGGGAGGAGTGGGCAGCGTATGTGACAGTGGCTTTGCTGGCTCCCAGTACATATGCATCAGACTCCACCAGATGCTTCCAAAAGGGCCTTTTTTTCCGTGGCCTCTTTGCACACCCCCATATACTGCAGGTGTCCAGTCCTACCACTTGCTTCTGGGCCAGCCACCAGAGGTCACAAACGCACTCTGTATGCCCGGGATCTGTTCTTTCGGTGTGCACCTCAGCCTTTTGGCCATGGCAGCTTCAGCGCCACTCTGTTTCCTCTCCGCCCACCTTGCAGAGAAGTGCTTCATGTATTTTTCACTCCAAACTCTTGAATACTGAAAATACCTTGCAGAGCACTGTGGGATGAGAAAACCTGTGCATAGACCCCAAAAGCCACTTGTGGATTAAGGTGTAACAGGCCACCAAAGCTCTCACTACATAGGACAATCGATGTTTTAAAACAGAAAAGCACGGTGCCCCTTGTATTTATGTGTGAGGCCAAACTGGTCATATGAAATGAGGCTGAATCCCAGAGTCTAGTTGGGGTTTTATGTGTGGAGTGGTTTCCTACAGACTCCAGAGGCCACAGAGTGTAGAGAAGACAGGAACCCACCTGGACTGGCATCCTCCAAGAATCACTGAAGAGCCATCCTAATTAGTCTTAATAATAAAAACCCAAAGTCAGATATCGAGGTAAAAGCTGAAAGACCTGAGAAGCAAAGGATCAGCCACAGTCACCTCTTACCTCTCCAACTGCTCAGACCAAAATGGGCCAAGCTCCTGTCTCCACCCCACCTTACCACTTCCTGTCTGTCTGTACAGACCTCCAGACTTCTATGGTTAACTAGCTAGCTCTATCCTCTGATCTCCAGGCAAGTTTTATTTGCCAGAACACAACATGCTACAACAAATTATCTCTTCCCCCCCAAAGGTGGGGGGGGGGCGAGGGGAAGGGACCAACTCTGGTACCTGTCCCGTACGGCTGCTGATAAGAGCTTTCTACATATTTTTCTTCTTCCAGGTTTTCATAGAGAAACAGAAAGGAGAAATCCTGGGAGTTGTGATTGTAGAGTCCGGCTGGGGATCCATCCTCCCCACTGTGATCATTGCCAACATGATGCACGGAGGCCCCGCCGAGAAGTCAGGGAAGCTGAACATCGGGGACCAGATCATGTCCATCAATGGCACCAGTCTGGTGGGCCTGCCCCTGTCCACCTGCCAGAGCATCATCAAGGTACGTCGGCGTGGGCAAACCTGGTCGGTAGCATACTCGCAACAATGTGGAATGGGACTGCCATCCCGTCCTCAGTGTGTGTGAGCATATTTAGCCAGGCCCTGAGGAAGACCCAGCTACAAACGGTATGGACTTGTATTCAAGGCAGCTAACCCTCAAGTTACCGTTATAACCTTCTCCATAGGTCTGAATCACAATGTGTGAGGCTTGCATAACTCCTGCGTCTAATCCAATGCCCATCACAGGTATAACTCATCCGTTACCTCAGCTCCTCCCACGTAACCCAGACTCAGCCCCAGCAGGATTTCCCTCAGCTCTGTAACCCAAATACTCCTTTACGGCCAGCCAGATAGCCGTGAGAAGACTTACCACCCCCGTTATAGCTCATGGGAATGCTTCAGCTCTTCAGAGAACACTGGTGGGGTCAACCGGTCCCGTCCCCTGAGCCACTGCCTGAAATGTCATAGGGAGAAAGCCTGCTCTAGTCCGCATGTTCATTTTTGTCCGACCCACGCCAATGCTGTCACTAAAGAAAAGAGTTACTTAGATAGAAAAAGGATGTGACTACCTGAGGGGGAACTGGATTTTCTTCTTAGCAGCGAGGTATCTGTATACCTAGCCTTTGGAGGACACTGGTCCTTGTTGCGCGTATTGCTAGTATGACACTAGAGCCTCTTTGGCCCAGAACCCCACACCCAGCAAGTAGGCAGGCTGGGGTGCTCAGCTTGTCTTTGTCCCGGGTGTTTCAAAGAGAGCACCACTGTGTGGGGGTGAACACATCTGTACAATAGCCAGTCAGTGCCCTAGAAAACCCTCAACAGCCAACAGCCTCCTCCAAGGCGCTGGGGCAAGGCTGTAGTGAGCATAGAGGACAAGGTGACGTGTCCCCCTGAGGTATGCTTGTTGCTTAGTACACAGCCACCTGTGGAGAAATAAGTTCCGAGAGATGTGCCATCCGGCGATCTTCTATTTTGTTACTGTTTATTCATTCATTCCCTTCCCTCCCCCTTCCTAATCCCCCGCCTTCCTTCTACCCTGCCGCCATCTTCTCCTCCGCCTGTTTTTCTCTCCCAAGGGTATCAACCAGCCAAGGTATATCAAGTTGCTGTGAGATTAGGCTCCTCCTCTTCTATTAAGGCTGGATAAGGCAATCTTATAGGGGAAATGGGTCCCAACAGGAGGCACCAGAGTCAGAGATAACCCCTCCTCTCATGTTTAGTAGTCTCACAGAAAATTGTAACACATATGCAGAGGACCTAGGTCAGTCCTGTGTAGATTCCCTGGTTGTCGGTTGAGTCTCTCTGAACCCCTGTGGGCCCAGATTAGTTGGTTCTGTGGGTTTTCTTGTGGTTTCCTTTACCCCTCTACCTTCTATAATCCTTCATCCTCCTCTTCCAGAGGACTCTCCAAGCTCCACCTAATATTTGGCTGTGGGTCTCTGTATCTGTTCCCATCAGTTGCTGGCTGTGGTAGTTTGAATGTTTTTATCCTCCATAATCTCATAGGGAGTGGCACTATTAGGAGGTGTGGTTTTGTTGGAGAGGGTATGGCCTTGTTGGAGGAAGTGTGTCACTGTAAGGCTTTGAGGTTTCCTATACTCAGGATACCACCCAGTGTCTCGTTCAACTTCCTGTGACCTGCATATCAAGGTATAGCCAGCACTACATCTGCCTACATGCCATCATGCTTCCCACCGTGATGATATTAAACTGAGCCTCTGAAACCCCAATTAAATATTTTCCTTTTAAGAGTTGCCATGGCCATGGTGCATCTTCACAATAGAAACACTAAGACACTGGGGGAAGACTCTCTGATGACAGTTGGGCTAGGCCAGTCTATGAGAATAGCGGAATATCATTAGGAACCATTTCATTGATTTTGTTTTTGCCAGTGTGTTTAGTTCTATCCGAGGTCTCTGTGGTATCTCGCCTTGGTTCTTGGCCCTCAGGGGCGAGGTGCCTCTCAGGGTATATCCTCTAGCGGGGCCACTCATTAGTTGGCCATTCCCACAATTCCTGTGCCATCTTTTCACACAGCACATTTTGTAGGCAGGACAAATTATAGGATGAAGGGTTTGTGACTAGACTGATGTCTCAGTCTCTCCCCTGGAAGTCTTGCCTAGCTACAGGAGATGTCTGGTTTAGGCTCTATGCTCCCCATTGCTAGGAGTCTTAGCTAGGGTCACCCTCACAGATTCTTGGGAGTTTCTATTGCTCTAGGTTCCTAGGTCATCCCGGCAACGCCCCCAGATTCCAGCTGTCTCTCCCAGTACTCTCTTCTCCTTCCATCCCCCGCAACCTGGTCTCTTCTGCTCCCATCCCCATTCCTCCTTTCGGGCCCCTCTCCCCACCCATTGATAATATCCATTCTCCTTCCCCCTCACAGTGAGAATCATGCATCCCCTTAAATCCTCCTTGTTGCTTAGCTTCTCTTGTTCTGAGGGCTGTAGCATGTTTCTCCTTTGCTTTGTGGCTAATGTCCACTCATGAGTGAGTACATACCATATTCATTTCTCTAGATCTGGTTACCTCACACAGGATGATCTTTTCTAATTCCATCCATTTTTAACATCTGAGTAGCACTCCATTATATAAATGTATCACAATTTCTTTATTCATTCTTAGTTGAGGGGCATCTATGTTGTTTCCAGTTTCTGGTTATTACAAATAAAGCTGCTATGAGTATAGTTGTGCAAGCACGGGCACAGGAGACAACTTCCTGAACAGAACACCAGTAGTACAGGTGCTAAGACAGATAATTAACAAAATGGGACTTCACGAAACTGAAAAACTTCTGTAAGGTAAAGGACACTGTCAAAAGGATAAAGCAACAGCCCACAGAATGGAAAAATATCTTTACCTAACCCACATCTGACAGAGGGCAAATATCCAAACTATATAAGGAACTCAAGAAATTAGGCATCAAAATAAAACAAATAATTCAATTAAAAATGGGGTACAGGTCTAAACACAGAATTCTCAACAGAGGAATCTCAAATAGCCAAGAATCACATAAAGAAATGTTCAACATCCTTAGCCATCAGGGAAATGCAAATCATTAGGCAATTTTGTCATTTTCCAAACATCGCAGAGTAATTAGACAATTTAGGTCAGTCACCTGATGTGGCCTCTTGGTAAAACCAAGAGAGACAGTAATTGTAGGACCCACGAGAGGGCTGCCAGCATAACACAGCATACTATGTTATGGTTAATGTTGTGTTTTTATGAATATGAGTACACCCTAAAATGATGATATAAATACAGTGTAATAAATATATTTAACCTAGTAATGACACTGATCCTTGCTGCTTGTGTAGCCAGTATGACACTATAGCATCCTTGGCCCCAGAACATGTAAGTCTATGGGGGCCGTACCTATTCAAACCACCCTATTTTACTCCCTAGCTCCCATAGTCTCTTCACAGCAATAGAAATACTAAGACACCTGTAGGTGGAGACTGCTTGTTCATTTCCCGAGCACCCAGACCCAAATAATAGCACAGAAACTATATTAATTACAACACTGTTTGGCCAATAGCTTAGGCGTAGTTTTAGCTAACTCTTATGTCTTAAATTAACCCATTTCTATTAATCTGTGTATGGCCACAAGGCTGTGGCCTACTGGTAAGGTTCTGGCTGGTGTCTGGTGTCTTTCTCCTTCAGCAGCTAGATGGCATCTCTCTGACTCTGCCTACTTTCTGTCTATATCTCTCCCTGATATACCTGGCTTTACTAAGCCACTGGCCAAAACATCTTCTTTAATAACCAATTGTAATAAAACATATTCACAGCATACAGAGGGGAATCCCACACATCAGAGTAAAGTCAAGCTGGAAATCTGAACAGAGATATAGAGAGAAAGTAGGCGAAGTCAAAGAGACAGCAATCTCAAGGCAACATACTAAAAATCTTCTCTGGAAGCTCTTGGGCCAGGCCCCCACAGTTCAAATCACCCTCAACACCACTGTCCTCCATTTTCCTACTAATGTGGCCCATTAAGCCCCACTTAAACCATTCAACTGCTTTTCTAATTAAAACTCCTAGAATCAAAATTACTCCAAGAAAAAGCATGGTCAGGCCTATCATGGCAATACTTCTCTCCCTGGTGCCAACTTCTGTCTTGGTCAGGGTTTCTGTTGCTGTGCAGAGACACCATTACCATAATTACCATAGCAACTTTTATAAAGGAAAACATTGCATTGGAGTAGCTTACAGTGTCAGAGGTTTAGTCCATTATCATAGCAGAATATGGCAGTATGCCTGCAAACATGGTGCTGGGGAAGGAGCAGAGGATTCTGCATCTTGATCCACAGACCACAGGAAGTGAACTGGCACACTGAGCGTAGCCTGAGTATATAGGAGACCTCAGAGTCCACCTCCACAGTGACACACTTCCTTCAACAAGACCGCACCTGCTCCAACAAGGCCACTCCTAAGAGTGCCACTTCCTTATGGGCCAAGCATTCAAACACACGCGTCTATGGAGGAAATAACCATTCAGACCACCACACCAGGTACTAGGAATTTTTCAGTTCCGTTGTTGTCTCACGGGACTGCTATGGTAGCTCTGTCTAGTTGACTAAGATCACTGTGCAGCACATGACTGTACAGTAATGATGAGATCAGAAAAGCCGTCTAATGCAGAGAATCACTCAGATATGTTTAATTGGACCTTTGTTGGGAACTGAGAGAATCCATGCATGTACAAGATATTTACATTCCTAGAAAGATGTGTAACAGCATAGGGGTAAAGGTTGCAAGAGTTTAAGAGTGGAAACATTTGATTTTGAAAGTTTAATTTGACTTTGAAGGAGTTAAAACTTAGGTTTGTATCAGGAAGGACAGTGGTATTCAGAAGTGTCTGCTTGAATTGAGCAACAGTAGGCCACCATTGAGTCAAGGGGAAGAACTCAGCCTGACCTATAGGGTTGATCTGGTATTGTCATGATGACCTCTACTGAACAGCAGGACCTCTGCCCACTGGCCTGCCCCTCCCCTCTCTCCCGTGAGGTTATTTGTGTGTGCATGTGAGAACTGCAAGGGGTTATGTGGCCCAGACAGTGGGTAGGTCCTCAGCCAGGAGCTAGGCCTAGCAGGAAGAGGTGACTGGCCCCATAGTTACAGAAGCCAAGGACTGTGCACCCAGCACTGCCCCTCGGAGGGTGTTCACTGAGCTCATGCTTCCAGCTGCTCATGAACTTCTATGCAGTAGGTACTGTTGGCACCCATTGCATGAGTAGGAAACTGAGGCACAGAACAGCAGTCACACACTGGCCCCTGGAGACATATCACTCAGCCAGTAAAGAGACAGCCCCGAGACACCACCCCCCTCTGTCCAGGGAGGGTGTCTATGCAAGTGGAAATCCTCAGCCGGAGGTCATATTGCATCCTCCAGAAGCCTGAAGATGCCTCGGCTATCATGGAGACGGTACTAGAGGCACAGCCTACCGTGCATAGGACAGCACCCTCCACAGCCAAGACCCACCCAGCCCCAGGTGTTGGTCATGCCAGTCTTGAGGCTCTGTGTGTGGAGTGCAGCGCTCAGATATGAGGGAGAGAAACTGGTGAGTGAAATTGCTGAGGGTGACTTTATATGGAGTTAACCTGGATCCGGAAAGGCTATGGGATGGGGATAAGGGTATTGTAGACTGAATATGCCCCCTTTAAAGTACATGTTGAGGCCCTAATCCCAGAAACTGTTGGGGGGTGGTTAGGTCTTAAGAGTGATGCTTTTATGAATTGGATCAGCGCCTTTATGCAAAGGACCCTACAGGGCTCTCTGCTTCTCTTCCTCTGTGAAAGCAACCAGAATCCCACTGTCTGCAGCCCAGATGAGGGCCCTTACCACCTGACTGCCAGCACCCTGATCTCAGACTTCTGGCCAGCCTAACTATTAAAAGTAACTTTCATTGATTGTAAGCCCAGTGTATAATATTGGGGGGGGGGGAATATGAATGAGAGAAACTTGGTTGAAGGTGGGGATAGACCTCGGCTTAAGAAGTGGAAATGTCTGATAACTCCCAACCTTATGTCAGGGCCTGGCCTTCCCATAAGCCATGCTTTGCCTGAAACCCCAAGGCTCAGGATCCCCAACTGGCCATTCCATTGGACCCCAACTCTTCTCTCACCCACCCATATTGCCCTCTAATGATAGACAAGACGAGGGATTGTGGTGTCTATGAGGTCAGCCTGACCATCTTGACTGCTGCCTAGGGACTCCTCTGTCCACAGATCACCAGCTCAAGGTGAAAGCAAAGCCTGCTCAGAGCTTCCTGAGGGGAAAGGTTGTTTGAAGAGCTGAACTTTGGTGTCTGTAAACGAAATCTCCACAGACTAGGAAGATGAAAAGGCCGTGTGATAATGAAAGAGACAAGTGCCGCTGAGGGCCTGAGAAAGCTGCTGTCCTGATGGCTCCCTCGGCAGAGATGGGCACGGCAGGCAGGTCCAGCTAGAGCACTCGTGTCCCAAGATCCTCAGCTTTGGAGCCAAAAAATCAGATAGCCTACCTGTGGCTTGTCTTGGCTGAGGACTGGCAGCAGATCCAGTGCCCTTGTTTACAGTTCGCTAGACATCACCCCACCTTGTGCCTGGACCTGGATGGACGCTCACACTGCTCCACCCCAACACCTCAGTCCCTGCAGGGAAATGTCTGGGCGTCAGAGCTTCATTGTCCTGCTGTTCACTCAGTAGGTCCCTGTCCTGGCTACCCTACCCCACATCAGTCACTGCTTCTCACATTCACACAAGCCACCCAGGGATCCAGGTAAGGTGTCAGTTCTATTCCGACAAGTCTTAAATGGGACTCTACTCTTCAGTAAACTCCTGGGGAAGTTGGCATTGCCAGTCTTCTGGCCCGGCTGTTGAGGAACAGGAGTCTAAAGCGATGTGTTCTGTGTCTTGCTTGCCACTGCAGTGCTCATTAGCCTTTTTTCTCCCAGATTACAGGAAGTGGAATGTGTTTCTAGTTACAGAAGCCCTCTGAATTCTTTTTTGCCTGGCTCTTACCTTCCCTGTTGTAACTCATTCCTAAAGCGTAGTCACTGGTAGACAAAGAACACTAGCATCTCTTCTCATGCCTTTGCCTCCAAGTCCTTCCTTCTAGACTTCGGGTCCTTTTCCAACCTAGTGCCCGGTTTTCCTTTCCTTCTCAAGAGTATTGTGGGTTTGTACCACTCTGACTTCTTCTCTTTGCACCATATTTCTTAATTTGTTGCATCATTCACTGTTGTCATGGGGATGAAATGACCATTTATTTAATTGGCACCTCCAACAAAATGGCAGGTCGGAAATCTAAGTTAATGGGACCCAACTTGAAACACTGATTAGGGATAGCAGAGCAAATCACACTCTGGTCATTTCAAATTGCCTTTTCTGCAGCCTTATGTTGAAGCACATTTTCTCCTGTCTTAAAAATTATTTTGTTGAGGAATCCAACAGGCACCTTAAATCAATTCACCAGAGCCATGTGTAATTTGTAGGTAACACTGGGAAAATTGTTTCATTCTCGTGCCTTTTTGGTATATTCTATAAAATCTTCGGGATTGCCTGGGCGGTTAGCAGGTGTGAGCATTTAAGCACATGGCTTTGTGTGAAGAATCACGACTCCTACAGGCGGACCCTGTCACTCTCAGTTTGTTTTCCTCGAATTCCTGGTCTGCAGAGGATGTGGGGGGACTCCAGCTCCTCTGTTCCCGTCTCAGTCCTGACACACACTCTGTGTGTTCTCTCTCCACCTCTCATGCCCCCACCCAGTTCCGGGAGACCTGGAGAATGTTACTCCTACCAGTGTCCAGCACCTAACCCACTTCTTGGCATATAAGTGATTTAAGTGAACAAAAAGAGGAGGTGCTCAAGGAAAAATGTAGTATTCCGTAGCCAGGGTCCAGCCTGCCTCACTTCTCCTACCTGCTCTGATCTTGTGGAATGTGTCCGAGTTTTGAATCTTTTGACTGAGTTCAGTGTCATGGGTTAAGGCATTTAGGAGTTGTATATAGAAACTGAACCCAGCAGAGACCTCAGTGTCAGCATGTAGAAAAGAGTGGAGGAATCCAGGTAGAGCAAGTGCCTACGAGCCCCACTACATATGGTAGCAGAAATACGACGGGAACTTGTGTCTGAGGACACCAGCACTGTCCTCCTCACCTGGCTATGCTTGTCCCACGTCTGGGAGCAGAAAGCCAGACCTTCTCTCTGTCTTACTGACACAACGATGAGACTTGCTGTCAACAGAAGGTCCAAATCTGTCACTGGCATCTGATGCAGGAGAAGCACACTCCATCATTCCCTGCCTTGGAAATATTGTTCCCTTCACTACGGGGCTCCCTAGCCTGTTTCCAACCACTGGGAACACTGGTGATGCCAATGTGAGTATGAGCTTCAAGTCCCATGTCATGCTGTCTCGAAGGGATATCCCCAAATCCCTGCCCCCTCAAATTGCTTCTCTCTCTCTCTCTCTCTCTCTCTCTCTCTCTCTCTCTCTCTCTGGAGTGCATGCTCATCCACCTCAAGACCCTTTTACTCTTGCTGCCCTGGAGAAGAGTAGATGACCTTGAGACATTTCTTAATCTGCTGGTCTTGCAGATAAGAGTCCAGTCAGTCCAGTCAGTCGGGCATTTCCTGAGTACTCTGTCCTCCTGACCTTAGCTGTAGCAGCAGGGCCTCCAACCTCACAAGTGTGATCTGTTTGTTCCAGGATGCAAAAATCACCACGTCCTCCGCACAGTGTCTCTTGAACTGGGATGGGAAACTCCTTCTCAGAGCCTGTCCATGCTGGGGACTGGTGCAGGAAAGGGCTCGGAGAGTGCTGAGCGTGCTCTCCTCAGAGCATCTGCTCCAGCAAGCAGGAGGCAACCAGGGCAGAGCAGGCCTTCCTCAGAGCCAGCAGCTCTGGAGGGGGCATGTTTATTTCTGGACTAGCTTCTGCGTGGTCCCCACTTCTCAGCAGGTAGCTGACGAGGCAGTAGATGGACCTGCCTGAGGGAGGGATGGTGTGGCTAATGTGTAGAAAGCTGCAAAGAGGCTCTGAAAACCGTTTCCCGTGCATAACTAAAGGTCAGCTTTTCTTCTACAATCCATTCTGGCCTAGAGGACGGGCAGGTGACCAAGGATGAACCCATGTGCAGTTTCCTGTCTCACTTCTTCTTCATAATCCATCACATCCCAGGGAGACAAACACACTGGAGCTTCCAGTTGTAGTGGGGATACCCACGAGCTAGAAGACCTCTCTTTTCAGACATAAAAAGTGGGGAAGAAGAGGCCAGAGACCGGCCAGCTTTGGGAATGAGCTGCTGCTGTGACATGTACACCCTCTGTTCGGAGTCACTGCTAGGGTCTGCCTTGTAGAGGAAAGAGCACATGCCCCGTGTGGCTTTCTCCCAACGGTCTACACCCTCGTCCCTCCAGCACATAGACTCTTTTCCTTATAGTTGTACATTTGCCAGGGCCCTTGATACCGTCCATTTTCCAGCCACCCACAGTACAACCATCTAGGGAGGCCTCCAGCGATGGCTCCAGGTCGGGCACACACAGCCTTCAGAAGGCTGCAGTTGTGGGTGCTGCCTCTGTGTCCGCCCACGTCTGCCTCTACTTGCCCTGCCTGACTCAGTGGACACCATCTCCACTGCATTTTATTCACGTTTCAGGGCTTAAAGAACCAGTCGCGGGTAAAGCTGAACATTGTGAGATGCCCTCCGGTGACCACAGTGCTAATAAGGAGGCCGGACCTTCGCTATCAGCTGGGATTCAGCGTCCAGAATGGAATTGTAAGTATACGTCAAACCACACCCTTTTCCAAAATACTGACAAATGGAAATGGAGGTATATTGAATTTTTTTCCAGCTGGTACACTCCCTTCATCTTTTCATCCAGTAAATAGATTTGGGGTTTTCCTGTTGTAATTTGACTAGCTTCTTGGGATTTCGTCTGTTTGGGGATGGAGCGTGCTAGGCAGGCATTCTACCAGGGAGCCACAGCCCTAACCCTAGACCCTTGGTCTGACCTCCAGTGTGGAAATCAGCTATGGAACATTTGACCTGAGAGCACCTTAGAGCCAGAAGGACCCACTCAGCCCAGACCCACTAAGCACCTTGCTGCAGGTTTTGTCGGCATCAGCTTTTGAGTAAAGATGCAGGGTCTGGGGTGCAAAGCCAACTTTATAAGTTCACAAGCACTCTTGTTTAGTGTGTAAGGTGTAACCCGCAGCTCTGGGAATGTTCACCCACCAGTGGTTCAGCCTAACCACAGGAAGTAGCTGGCTATACCATCGAGTCCATCTGTGTAAGAAGTGAGTTTGGCCAAGGACCACCAAATAGAGAAGAACAACAGGTACCTCTCTCCTCACGCCATAGTGTGGAACACAGTAGGCTTCTAGTTGTTGACTGAGGTTTTCTGTCCTGCCCGGTCCTACAACAGTTAAGTCCCAAAGAATCACACAGAGGTCTACATTAATCATAAACTGATTGGCCCAGTAGCTCAGGCTTCTTATTAACTAATTCTTACAACTTACATTAGCCCATAACTCTTGTCTGAGTTGGCCACGTGACTTGGTACCTTTTTCAGCAAGGCAGTCACATCTTGCTTCCTCTGCGGCTGGGTCACAACTGCAGACTCAAACTTCCCTCTTCCCAGAATTCTCATTGCCCTGCCTCTACTTCCTGCCTAGTCATCCCACCTCTGCTTTTTACCTGGTTACTAGCCAATCAGTGTTTTATTAAAAATAATACAAGTGACAGGATAAAGGACCAATGTCCCACAGTGCCTCTTTAGATCATGCAATAGTGGACCTCAGATACAAGCTTCTAGCATCAAACAATTTCGTGGGTAAGCCGGCTTGAGACTGTGGAAGGCTGATTGAAACACTGACCGCCAACAGATAGGCCCAACAAAGATGGAAAGTGGTCAGAGTTCAACACACTAGTAAGTTCACACCTGCCATACCTCTGTGCAAAGTTTGTTCACAAGGCAGGCTGGTGGGCCTACAGAACCGACTTTTGTCACTGCTGTATATGGTGCTAGGGACCAGACGCAGGACCTTGTGCATATTAGTTAAACATTCGACCACTGAGCTCCGTACTGGGCCACAAAACCTACTGTTCATAAAAAGAACCTGAGAGATTTAAATGGCCCAAGCCTCGCTGAGTCAGCTCCTAAGGGGTGTTCACTGTAGAGCACTAGGGCCCCAGGGAAGACAGCCCTTCACCCCCACACGGTTTGAGGATGTGGCCCCTGCCCACTGTGTAACCTGGTGTTTGCCTCTGGTAGATCTGCAGCCTCATGAGAGGGGGAATCGCTGAGAGAGGAGGGGTCCGCGTGGGACATCGGATCATTGAAATCAATGGCCAGAGTGTCGTAGCCACGCCACATGAGAAGATCGTCCACATCCTCTCCAATGCTGTTGGGGAGGTAGGAATGAGGCCTGGGGCTCAACAGGGCTGAGGTACTGCGTGTGCGCCTGGCACGTGGGGCTGTGCTGGGAGCCTCCTAGAGCCCCCTTTCCCTCCCTAGATGCTCCTTGGTTAGCAGGCCATCTGCCGCAGACTTGCGGGAAGTAACCTCACCTGCCTTCCCTTCCTCGTTTGTGCTGCTCTCCCTGTGCTCCCCAGATCCTCTCACTTTCCCCAATTAACCCCACCAGGTGTGATTGGAAGACACAAATTAGATTCAAAATTCCTAAAACCAGGAGCTCCCAGCACTAGCATGGGCTCACAACATGTCTTAACTACATTTCTGGGGCTTCTGTTCTTGATGTAGTAGCAGAACGCTTTGAGATGGGCTGGTGCTCCCCACTGCCAAGACAGGAAATGCAAGCAGGCAGTTAAAAACCCGGAGCCGTTCTTCCCATGGAGCCTCCTTTACTTTTCAAAGGGCTGTGGAGACAGGAACCTTTAACTGGGAAACTAAGCCTTACCCAGATTTTCTTATCATTTACAGCCCGCCCCCCCCCCAAAAAAAAACTTTTTTTAGAAAGCCCATGGGCTTCACTCTTCTTAGGACATGCCTGGCAGTTGGGGGTGGGCCCTCTTGGAAACTGTATGGCTCCAGCCCCAGCTAACATGGCTGTCTGCCCTCAGATCCATATGAAGACGATGCCAGCAGCCATGTACAGACTGCTGACCGCCCAGGAGCAGCCTGTCTACATCTGAGCCGCCCCTCCACAGCAGCGGCATGCATGGAGGACCCTCCTCACCGTGGTTGTGTTTGTTGTGCTGCGTCGTGTGTCACTGAGACATTTCCCTTTCTCACTCAGCGTTTGGTCTTACACAGGAAGAGAAGAACCGGCAAGGACTCCTTACTCTCTGTCTCTCTCCAGTTGGCTTTTTTTCTGTCCCTTCCTTCCTTAATACCAGGGACGTTTTGTGTGGGCCCCCTTGAGGGTGGAGAACAGCTAATATTTACCTGGGATCATTGTGAGGAGCCTTTGGGGGTCCCAAGGTGGTTGCCACTGTCCAAGGGGACATTATCCCTCCCTGAGAGGCACACACTTCCCTGAAGGAGCCCTCAGGGGCAGCAACAGAGCTGACTGAGCAGTGCCTAAAACTCACTTGCTGACTCCTGCCTGCCCTGCCCCGCCCCGCTTGATGGGAAGACAGTGGCGACAGGGATAGCCCACATCTTTAAGAGTGTTCGCTGCCTGCTGTGGAGTTAGGGCCTCAGACATTATTTCTGCCCCAAATTTCTGAGCCAATTTCAAATCTCTTCCATAGTTCCCTCTTAGTTTCAATGTGTGTGATAATACAGGCCTAACTGCAGAGAAAAGAGAAAGTGACATCCTGGGCAAGGCTGCCGTGACACTGAAGAGATCCTGGCGAGTCACAGGGCCTCTGAGACTTCCAAGATGGCCCCAAGGGTACAAATCAGGGGACAGCCACAGGCAGGTACGATCTTCCTGCATTCTCGCACAGATACTTACTACACATGTACAACACACATACACACATGCGCACGCACATGTACACACTCTGCACAGTTTCTCCTTTGCTCTCTACCTCCATTGAGGTAGGCCAAAGATCTAGCACACAGCCTGTGGGAGAACCCCCAGCACCCCTCTGGAAGACCCCTTCTCCTAGCAGAAGGTTGACACATGCAGAAAGTGGCCAGCCTTATCCTGAGAAAGAGGCCCTCCTGGCTGAGGCCTGGTCTTCCCCATCCCTGTTGGCTCAGACTGCCCTCTAGGACTCCTCCACCCCACATACACACTGAAGGTTCTTGAGGGACAAACTGTGATATGGGTAACCTCGTGTCATGCTTCCTGCCCCACAGCTAAGTCAGCCTGGGCCTTTCACAGCCACTCCTGAGGATGTGGTACGTCAAAGGCTAGAACGGATATGTCACAAAACCAAGCAGACTTAATGCTTGGTATTGGGCCTAGGAATCCCCAAGATGTGCTCCAGGAACAGTGTCTGCTGTCTGCTAGGTCTGGGAGTTTGCAGCTGGTGTGGAAGGCTTGATGCTTCCATCCGGTGCCTCGTCTTCTGAGTTACGTCTCAGTCTAGTACATGTGTTTTAATATTATTCTGAGCCAGTTTCCACTTATTCTGGTCCAAAGAGCAGTTTGTTTTCATGTGGGATGTGTCTAGCTTTTGTTTCTGTTTTGTTTTGTTTTGTTTTGTTTTCATTGATGACCTCAGTAGAGACAGGGGAAGAAAAACTAATATATTTTGTAATATGAATATAGTCCCTGTCCTCCACATCTGGGATATTTATGTTGTGTCTGTGGAGATGGGAGTTCAGTGAGCAGTGTTAGGGAGGATGGGTTTACAGAGGGAAGGGTGGGGTCTGGGGGAGGGAGAGATGTGCATATAGCAAGATGAAGAACAAGAGACTTCATCTCAGGATGCAAAGAGTCAAGCCCCTGGGGACTCTAACTTCATGAGTTGTCTGGGCAGAGTCAGAAAAGCCTGGTTCTTGCAGGGATCCACAGTGGAGCCCTCAGGTGTACTTTGGTACAAAAAGTTTCAGTGTTGTCTGCCCCCTGCTGTCCAGATAGCTGCCTGAGATGTGGCGGGGCTGCTGCTGCTGCTACAGAGCTGTGTGGATGGAGTTAGGACCACAAGAGCCAGACTATCTGGACTTTAAAGGGTTTAAGGTTTTTAAGGGTGTCCCACCAAGTGCTCCTGCATGACCAGACCCAAGGTCAAACCCCAGCAAATGTGAAGACCGGGAGCTATGGTCTGGGTTCTCCTCACCTCTCTGAAATAACTAAGCTTCCGGGTATCTAATATAATCACACACTGCAAGTGCAGCCCGTCTCTCCTCTGCCAAAGAGCGATGGAGAGGACCAAAAGAGACAATATTGCTGGCGTATGGGGAACCTCGGAAAGTCACTTGAGAGGCTGATGCCTGTCAGATCCAGGGTGGTCGCCATGAGTACATGTCCACGCATCTGTACAGGAAGGCGGGAGGACAGCGAGGCTGGTCAGGGACAGGCTCCACAAACACAGCACTCCCAGTATAACCCCCAAATAACCACAGTGAAGTGGCTTCACCCTACTTTCCATTCTTGTTGCACAAAAACCCTGGAAACTTTAAGAGAGGCCTGAAAAGCCAAGCTTCTCTTGTGAGCTCTTCTGGAGAGCTAACAGTTTAGCATGATTGTAAGATTACCTAGGCTTTTGTGTTAACCAAAGTGGCTCCCCCAACCCAGAGGGAGAACTGTTGGAGCCTGGTCCAGGCCCATGGCTGAAGCACAGTCTTGCTCTGTTGGCATCAGACTGAGTGGTTAACTTGGGGTCAGGTCTTGTCTGGCATCTTCACATACATAGTTACATATGTAAATATCTCATCACCTGGAATGATGGGGCCGGCTATGCAGAGAGCAGCCTTCCCCAAACTGCAAGGCATAAGGCCGCTCTGCCCACTCAGTTAGGACATGATGGTGACTCAGCTTTGGGACCAGGCTTCCAGATTCACTCCACCCCCACCCCAATCCAAGGAGGTTGCACCGCAACCCAATCTGCCTCTGCCTTCTCCAGTGGGAGCATTTCAGGGAGCCACCATCGGCCTTGAGTTCATGAGAGGAAGAAAGCCCCACAGATCAATGGCTGGAGCCCCCTTCCTGAGCGATACCTTCCTCCCACACCACAGCAGGCCCCTGGGGGTAGAGCATACAGCAGGCCGCCACCTCCCTGCTCATGGGTTTGCTTTCTGAACATTGCCCATCAACATTGGCCTTCAGGGAGTCCAGTAACCTACTACCTCCCCCATCGCTCCTCCTCCCTCCTGCAGCCCCACCCACACCGATGCTCCCTGTAGACAGCACACTGACACAAACCCACCCCCAAGCCCTGCTCCAGGCTCTCCACACACTGGTGTGGCTGTCACCGATGTTTACAACCAAGGGCCACCTCCTGCCGATGTTTTATCTCTCACCTTCTCAAGGCTACCCGTTGGGTTTGCATTTCACCTCTGTCTACTCCTTCCCTGGTTAGGGTCCACCTGAGCACACAACCCTGATTTTATTTTCCCTCCATCAAGGCAGTGTGTGATGACCGTGTGGGAATGAAATCTCTTGTACATACTTAGCACAGCACCTGGGGTATGAACTCGCGCCCCCATTCCATAACGGGGTGCATTAGCGCTTACTGTAAAACATCGGGAGAAGTATAGTATTGTATTTGTAACAATATCGTTCTTTGTATACACGGAACTCAATGATCTCTATATATAAATATAAATATATATAAATAAAATATATCTACACGTGAGCCTGGAATGTTGCCACTGCACACCCACTGAATGTATTTCCTCTGACAGTCTGGTCACCAGTCCTGGCCCACCCTCCCCTTCTTTGTGCCGTGGCCGCAGTTGTCTGGTTTGGGGTTGTGATGTATTAAATGTGCTATCTTCTTATTTAACTGAACGCTAACGTCTGTATAAGAATTGCTGCAACAATAAACAAGGACTTTGCCTCTTAGCCCTGGCTGAGTGTCTGACTGTTTCAAGGAGGATGGGCCTCCGTGTGCGGGGAGGGTTTGGTCTTCGCTAATAGGTCTCTTCCAGCGCTAAGGATTGTGGGGACTGGTTGCTACCCCGCTATTTATCTTGTGAAGCTGGCTCAGTGACCAGTCACCCCACAGTGTTCTCAGTCTCCTCAGAGCACAGGTGTCATGGGAGAAAGGACCCTGTAGGTTTCATACTTTGTGCCATCACTGAGGAAAGAAAGATAGAAATTAATCCTTCCCTCTACAAATAAATAGATAGAAATAGAAGAGGTCTTCATTGAGGGCTGGAACCACAGTGGGAAAGAGTGCCTCGAAGGACCTACCTGGAGATTCTGTGAGAATGCTCCAGAAGCTTTTACCTAGGACTCTGCAATCCCCCTCTTCAGAGCTTGGTAACATGATGTTCCTGCTGCCAGGGGCGTGAGCGGAGCACAAGGCTCCAAAAGAGAGGACCTGGCCTGGTCTTCATTAGAACATCAACCTCCTTATCCTTCCAGATAAACTAGTTGCAGGTCCCTTAGGGACTGTGCCCTGCAGCTGCTAGAACCCTGGAAATAGAGGCTGGGAATTGTTGGGTTTTTGTTTTGTTTTGTTTTTTACTTTTTCATTAATTTTTTTCATTTATTTTACATGCCAACAAGTTTACCCTACTCCCATTCCCTCCCCCCACTCCCCTTTTATCCTGCCACCATCCACCCTTCCTGCATCATCTCCATATGGGGGCAGGCCTCCCATGGGAGTCAACAAAGCATGGCACATCAAGTAGAGGCAGGACCAAGCCCCTCCCCCTGCGCTAAGGTTGGGCAAGCAACCCAGCTTGGGGATTGGGTTCCCAAAAGTCAGCTCAAAGTGCCAGGGACAGGTTCTGGGAATTGTAAAAGCCTTGTGGCAGCATGCTGTGCTCCAGAATCACTGGGTCTTTGTTACCATGCTTTATAGCTCTGTAAAACACTTGAGGTTGAAAAGCTTAAAAAGAAGGTGGTAGACTAAGACCCTCCCTCCCACAGTTGTCTCCTCACAGAAGCATCTTAAATAGCTCTGTTCACCACCAAAACCACTTTCACAAGAACTAACAAACCCAGATGAGAAATCGCAGGACCTAGTTTTAGTGTGATGAAAAAATGTGTTGTCAGGAAAGAGTCTTTCTCCAGGAGCACTGACTTGGGAACAGGGTCATTGGGATCTGCGAGTGCCCCTGGACGGAGACCACCCTGGCTCCGGGAGGAGAGCTAAGACTCCAGTGGCTAACCTGCATCCACTCCTGCTGCTTTAGTTTCCCGCCACTAGTACACCACGCCATTCCATTGTGGTTTGGTCCTACTCCTCTTTACTGCGCCAACAGATGGATTAAAACCTGGGTCAACTATGTGCTGCCTACAAGAAACTCACTTCTGAAGATACGTAATGGACTAAAAGTGACGGGGCGATGTGATGATTCGTTTTCATTGTGCACTTAACTGGATTTAGAATCATACAGGAGGTTGGAAAGATGCACATCTGGGTGTATCTGTGAGGGTGTTTCTAGATTAACTGAGGTAGGAGAGACCTATTATTGTACCTGAAAGAAAGAAATCTGCAAGATAGAGCTGAACCCCAAAGTCAATAGAAGGAAAAAAGTAAAGACCAAAGGAGCAATAAAGAAAAATATGAACCATTAGCAAAATGAAAAGTTGTTCTTCTCAAAACTAAACAAACTCAAGAGAAGTGAACCAGACACAAAAGCAGTGAGAAGAAAGAAATACAACTTATGCAATCAACTACAACAGCATTCAAGATTATGAACCATGACATACAAAAAATTGATAAATTTTAAAAAAGAACAAATCTCTGTCAATATATAGGAAGACTGGAGGCATGGAGAAATAAAACACTGGACAGGGAGTTGACGTGAGCCTGTATTTAGACTCCCAAGAGTCCACCACAAAACAGCAATTTAATAAGTGAGCATCATGTGATTGAGGGCAAGACCCGAAACAGGCTGAAGTCAGGAGTGTCTCTACATAGCAACAGTGAAATGATGAAAATGGAAAACAGTAGCCCCCAAAAAAAAATCTAGGAGAAAAGAGCCCTGCAATGAAAAGTATGAAGCACTGACCAAATGAACTGGGAAGGCCACACAAATACACAGAAAGACGTCTGTGTCTGTGGACTCAAATGGCTGATACTGGCTGAATGTTCATACTGACCAAAGCAACCTACAGATCCAGTGCAATCTCAGTCAAAATACCAATGACTTTCTTCCCATATCTAGAAAAAGGCCCTAGGATACATTTAGGAACACCAAGTAAATATTAACTAAAGCAAAAGAAAAATAAAGCAAATTTGAACCCAAAGAGCATCATCTTGTCAGCTAACATGAAAATACCCTACAAAGCTATAATAATTGAAACATGCTAATGATGTAAACTATGGGTCCACAGCACAACAGAACAGACTAGACCAGGTAGGAGACCAGAACTGGACTCCATCTCTTACCACACACAAAAACCAGCTCGAATTAAGAACTCAACCAGAAAACAAAGAGTGGAAGCAGACATACGGGAAATATATTAGGGATAACCAAGTATTTTTTAATAAGACTCCCAAACACAGGAAATACAAACAAAAATAGGCAGGTGGGATAACATCAAACTGAAAACCTACAACAGTGAAAGAAACAAAAGAATAAAGATAAAACCTAAAAACAGTGGGAGAAATATTTTCAAGCTATGCATCTAACAAGAATAATTTTAGAATATGTAAGGAGATCAATAGCAAATAATAATCTTCTTAAAAATCGGAACAAACCTAAAGAGTTACTTTCAAAAGAAAAAAAAATGGGCAAATGACAAACAGATGTGTGGCACCGTGGAAAACATCACTGATGATCAAAGCCACAATCAGATGAACTCAGTTCACGTTGGGTGGCCAGTGGCAGAGGAGACAGGAATGTCAGCAACTTCCTTGGGGAAAGAGAAGAAGAATGCGAATGAGTAGCACCACACGCAGATTCCTTAAGAACTAAATTACATGATTGCCATGTGATCCAGCAGCTCCACCGGTACATACCCAAAAGTAAGAAGGTCCCAGTGCTAGAGAAGAGCTCTGGTCTCCACACTTTCGCACGGCGTACTCTCTCACCCACACTCACACACGGCGCACTCGCTCACGCGTGCTCGCTTACCCACACTCGCACACGGCGTGCCCTCTCATCCACTGAGCCATCACCATGGGCCTCTCAAGGCTGTCCTTGAACGTTACAACCAGCAGCCAGAAAAGCAACAGCAATCCCAGCACGGGGTTCCCCAGCCACAAGCAGCAGGGCTAGAGAGCAGTCAAGAATAATGTCACTTTTAGTAAAATTTGAGAAACAAATGTCACCCCATGTGCTACCAGTCAGAGGGGTTTTGGATAGTCCAGACAGGTGGGACTCCCAGCAGGGGAAGTTTTGGGACAGGACAGCAGTCCACAGGTGAGATTTTCCCCCATGGCGGCGGCGGTCAGCTCACAATAACCCTTGGAAGGAGAAATGATTGTTTCTGGATTAGCTGGGCTGAACTCTCTGGATAGAACATTTAAATGTAAGTCAGACTCGATCACCCTGGTGGTCAGCCATGATGGAATACAAATTAAGGTTTTTAATGAACACTCGAGATGGAAGTAGACCTTTTGTGCCTTCCAGCCTGTCGTTTACTACTAATTAACCCCTCTCCATCTCTTCACTCACTGGCTCTCAGTAATGAAATTTAAGACATCTCAGAAGTTGGTTTTCTTATTGGTACCTGTATGTCCAAACATCACAGGGGTCACTGTCAACCCAAAACTCAGCTCCCATCTCAAAGGGAAGGGCTTTATTCTAGAGCCAAAAAAAAAAAAAGAGTGAGCATGACCCAGGGCCACAGATTCAGGTTGTCCCAAATACCATGTTCAACGCGGTAAGTTTCACTGAGTCTTTCTAATTGCAGATCAAAAGACAGCTATAGATCCAGGCACTTTTCAAACGCTCTGGTGGAAACATCAGGTCGGCAGCTTTTGACCAAGCACGGAAATCTCAGATAAATTTCAGATGCTGTCGATGCCTTTCTTAGCATTTGTGTTTGTGGAAGGCAGCAATCTGTTCTATCCTAAAAGGGTTCATGGGCTAGTCACAAGGATGCTAGGTCGGACACAGAGCAGGTGCAATGGACCACTAGGAAGGGAGCTAAAAATCACCCCAGAGAGCTGGATTTGGGTTCTGCAGGATTGCAACACTCCATAACCACAGAGTTCAGTCAGCCTGCCTGGTAGAATCTTCAGCATGGGTAATAGCCTTTTCCGGAGAATTTCAGTTCTCAATAACCCATATATATATACATTTTAATGTGTCAATTTTTCAATCATAAAAATGGCAATGAATAGTAACTTCAAACAAAAATGACTCACAGTTCTGGAAAATCCGAGCAGCCTCACACCAGTATCCTGTCCAGGGGCCCCTGGTGGAGAAGCAGAAAGGGCTCCAGTGGCCTGAAGAAGTGGCCTAGCGTGAGGGTGGCCTCCCTTTATAACCACTGGCTCTAGAAAGACGAACCCAGCAGCCCATCCCATTCCTCCAAGACAGCACTTGGCCTTGCGGGAGAGAGGTGTGCCTGGTCCTCAGCACCTTCCATTCAGCTGGGCTCCTGAGGGCCCTCCTCCACACAGCCAAACTGAAGGCTAGAATGCCAGCCCGAAACTTTCTCTCTTCCGCTTTGGGGGCTGAACTAGAGCTGAGCCTATTCTCCCGTCACATGGAGCAAAGTGTCCCCATCATGCGTGACCAGGAAGAGCAGGAAGATAAATTTAGCTCCATCCTGAGGAGCCCACTCAGATAGTAAGACTCTCAGTTGTCCTAAAGCAGGGCCTCTGGGCGGGACCTTTACAAAGCACTTTCTTTTCTGTGCATTAGCTTAATCCCCACAACGCCTGAGGGAGGCAGGGGCCCCCGCTTCTCTTTTACAGCCCAGGAACCTAGGGCTGAAGAAATCAACCCGCCTGCTCCAGTGGCCATAGCTGTGCTGGACCCTGCCCCCTCACCAGGTTTAAACGCATCCCACCCACCTGGTAAGTGGTCAGCAGTGGTCCATCCCGGTGAGAACTAGATGCTGGCAGCAGCGAGAGAAATCTTTGCTTCTTGCCTTCTCTCCCCCTCATGCAGTAAGTGAGGTAAGAACAGAAGTTCCCTGGAGGTCACAGACCACCCTTTCTGGCTCAGCCGGCTGACCTAAGCTACTGACCAGGAATTCCATGAGCTAGAGCCGGTCTTGGGCCCAGACAGGCTAGTCCTACAAAGAGAACCCTCTTGACCGAGTTGTGGCCCTGGCTGCTGGCCACAAGCACCCTCTTCACCCAGAGGCCCTGGCTCCCCATTTGCCCCCTAGCTTCCCCACCGCCAGGGGCACCATCCTCCACAACTCACCCTCATTGCTAGGGCAAGACTTCACCAGCACTGGGTGGCACCAGCTTGGGAGGGGGCGCGCGTCACAAGGGCAGAGAAGACACTTCATTTTCCTTACCTCACAGGGAGAGAAGGAAGGAGGAGCTTTCCTGGTCTCTGTATTTGACAAAGGACAGTGCCCCTCAACGGGAGGGCAGTATCACCAGGGGTACCTGAAAGCGCCTGTAGTGAGAAGCTGACATGGGCAAGCCCCGCCCTGTGTCAGGCCACGCCCCTCTGAAAGCCCCACACTCTTCGGCCAGTCCCACCCCAGCCACCCTACAGTCACAGAATCTCTTGGTCTTCGTCTTCTAAAAGTCTTGCTGTATCTGCTCCACGGTTACTTGACCTCATTGAGCGTGCTCATCTTGTGAGGCCAGTACGAACAGAAATTTGCAGCTGAAAGGGATATCTCAAAACCCGTTAGTGCATGAGGACCTATAAGAAGTCGAATGGTTGGTTTTTTAATCAAGACGAGGGCACACAGAAATCACAACCTTCGTACAATGTTGAATGAGAATGTGCTCTCAGAGTTCCGTTCCCCCTACACCAAGTGATCCCTTCTTAAAACAGCTACAGGCTGAGCGCTGAAGGTTAACTGTACAACAATGTAGGGTGTGTCCTAAGTTCAACACCCAGCAATGCAAATCATGTTTAATGTATCTCAAACAATTTTAAATTTGTAATGGTAGTTGTTTTGCGTATATTGGTTAGAAAGAACCTTTCTGAGACTAGGGAGAGGGAGCTACAAGTGTCTAGCCAACAAGGGCTCCAAACCGACAGGGTAGCGTGCGTGAACGTCCTGAAGCCAGCCTCCTCCAGACAGCGCTTGACTCCGGTGACCACAGCTGAGCTTGGCAGGCAGGGGTAGCGGGTAGGCCGGCAGATGGAGATGGCGGGGTTAAAAAAAACTATAGCGCTACACATGTCTAATTGCTTCAACATGCGTTTTCAACTCTCCCCATCGCTTCCCTTTGCTATCGCCCAGGGAAACCACAGGCTTCAGGAAGCCAGCGATGGATTTGGCGCCCTCTGATGGAATAGTGAGGGAAAGGCCATGCCTACAAGATTCCCAGAGGACAGCTGCAGGAGAGGAATTTCTCAGCCTGGCTCCCACAGGTACCTTCCAGATGAGGACACTAGCTAGGCAGGCTGAGGCAGGCGGAGTTGGTGCTACGACTCACTGACTAATGCTCCACTGTGCAAACCCAGAGGCTGACAGAGGCGCTTTCGTCAGGTCCTGGAGTCCAGGAGGCAGGCTTATTACACGGCAGAGATTCTGCTTGCAGGCCACCCTAGAGTTTCTCAGGTCATTTGGTGGAGACCATACATTTCAAAGGCATAGACTCTGGAACAGCATACACACACACACACACACACACACACACACACACTTGGTGCCAGGGAAGTGCAGAGAGAGAGAGAGAGAGAGAGAGAGAGAGAGAGAGCAGTAGAATTCCCTGAGTCGACCTAAAATTTAGACTATTGTTTCCTAGCTCTCTACGTGACTCCAGCTTCAGGCTGGCCACAGAAGTACGAATGAGATTTGGAAGGCTCATCGAAGCCAGGGTCTTGTAATATCATGTATATGGGAGTGCACATCCCCTGTCACTGACTGACGGTCCACATGGCCAGCACACACACACACACACACACACGCACACACGCACACATACACACACACACCCTTGAGCTGCAAACCCCCTCCTGCAGCTTTGCATCACAGAAGTGATGACAGCAGTGGCCGGCTTTATGTCACTCTAGCCTCATGGACAACAGTCAGCCCTGCTGGAGTCAGAGGTCACACTTTGCCCAGGCCTCTTACCGGCCCATACAGGTGTGCTTGACTGAGCTGTGTGGAATGCCTCGCTCCCTCCCACACAGTGGAAGGAGCCCAAGCACAGAGGGGAACATGAATTGCCTGGGGCAACCGGCCCAAACAGGATGTGCTTTGTGATGCCTGCTAGGTGGCTTCGGCTTGGTGTCCCTGTTCCCTTTACCCATTGCCTAACTTCTGGCATCTATATGAAGAATTTGGCTCTCGCTTTATGGCATCAGAAAGCGCAAAAGCTCCCCGTCTTAAGTTTGCTCCCAAGAACCTGGAAAGAACCACTCCAACTTCTGCAAAGATGAGCTCCTCAGTGACCATGCACCCCATCCCTTCCCATCTGACAGACCTGGGTACCAATGGCAGCTACAGGGACCTCCTCATCCTCCTGCTATTGTTAAGGAAGCAGGCTTTAATCCTCCAGGGGGCAGTAGGCCAAGGACACTGAACTAACTAAATGGGCCAAGATTTGATCCAGCTGCCTCTGAGTCCCTAGGAAAATTCCACAGAACATTCCACAAGAAAAGCTAAAGGGAATATATCTAGCTCCCAGTGAGGGAGAAAGACCCGCTTCCTTTCCTGTTGGTGAATATTTGTTAACTATGTAAAGATGTGTTGCGTTTGCATTGATTAAATAAAATTAACCTGGGCTCAGAGAGGCGGGGTTGGCAACGAATTGACAGGAAGAATGAGAGGAGAAAGAACAAGGAAGAAAAAGAGGAAGATGCAGGCAGCTGCCAGATGGACAGACAGGGAGTAGGACATACAGAATGAAAGAAAGGCAAATGAAATGAAGAGAAACGGGTTAAATTAAGTTATAAGAGCTCATGGGACAAGCATAAAGTAAGTCCAAGCATTCATAACTAATACTAAGTCTCCATGTCATGTTTTGGGGACTGGTTGGTGGCCCAAAGAAAGCCTGCTATACTTCCTATGTCCCCAGAACAGCGCTGGTTCCTTGTGAAGAGAACAAACCCTGGCGTGTCACAGCCTCAGTGACGTCGAGGGTCCCTGATCTTTAGAGAATGACCACAGCCCTTGATCTCACCCTAGAGTCAGGTGTATACTCTCCTGTGGGGACAGTCAAGCCCATGGCGTATGGCAGCCAGTTCTGACTTCCCTGAAGGAACAAATGTTAAACATATTATTAAAGATTAATGTGTGGGCCGGAGACTTGACTCAGATAATGAAGTGTTTCCTATGAAAGTATTAGAGTCTGGTCCCATCCCGAGAGCCCATGAAAAGTCCCAGTGTGGCAGTGCAAGCCTGTGATCCCAGCAGGGCAGCAAGAAGGCGACAGGCTCCTGAGGGACTTGCTGTCCAGTCAATATAACCCGCCAGTGAGCGTCAGGGTCAGTGAGAGAGCCAGTCACACAAACTAAAGTGGAGCGTGACAAAGGACATTCGCCATCACCCTCTGACATCCTCACACACACACACTCACATACAAACACACATGTGCACAATAGCAAAGCAAATCACACAGGAAACAAAGGTACTGGATCATCGGGACAGAGTACTTCACATGCATCCCACACCAGGAGGTCCCCTAGCACACTGAGCTCAGAGGGATCTGTTCTCGAATTACACACATCCGGGCCTGGTGGATGACTTTGGCAATCCTCTAAACTAACAAAACTGATAAGGAAAACGCTAATCATGAAGGGTAAACCTCTGTGTCACTCGGCTTATGGACAGCACATAAATTTGAAGTGAGTCAGAAGACAGACCAGGGTGAAATCGCGATGTTTTCTGACAGGAAGAGCACAGTGGGCCCAGTATAGTTAGATCATGGAGTCCACGTACTAAAGGGCGGGAAGAAATCCTGTTTCCTATTTCATTTCTCACTAAAATGAGTTATGAGTGACAGCAGGAGCTCTGAAAACCCCCAGGAATTCTGAGAATCGTCGTGCTTAGAGGGGAGCAGGCATCTCTGTCACCGGACCCTGTTTGGCGCACCCAAGTCATTGAGCCAAAGACTACGGTGCTCTGGCGCCACCTGGTGGCAAACAGCAAAATGCAGCAGCACTTCTAAACCCTTGCGCGGCGCCCTTGCAGGGGGGCTTGTTGATTGTCTCCATTTCTCTAGTCATCTGGTGATCCCTTGGCTTATTCTTCCAAAGGAAGTGGGGGTGGGGCAGGAAAGAAAGCCCCTCCCCCTTCGGTTGCTTTGCTTTTCAAGTTACTTTCATGAAAAAGTAAATCAAGCAGAGAGGGGAAGTTATCAAGCTAGGGGGATTCCAAAACATTCCCTCCACCACAGTGGCCCCTGCTGGGTTCTCAGAATTCCAGCCTTTTCGGCCCTGGGACGTGTTTCTCCTGACCTGGGATACCCAAGATTTCCACAACACAGAGGTAAGTGGACATCCACATGGGGCTGCCTTCTGGAGGATCTGGGACAAGGACACCCAAAAGGCTACAGGAGAAAATGATCTCCCTATCCTCTAATCCTGCTCCGGCCAGCCAGCTGCTACCAAGCCTTCAGGCCTGGAATAGCTTTTGCAGCAACACCCGCTATGAACACTGGTCACGCCTTGTACTGTCCCTGAACCCACTTCTGAGCCCAGCGCCTATCCACCCGAACCCAGACATCCCACCCTGAACCCTGCAGAGTTGCTTTCTCTACTGCTGCCTGCTCCAATCTGTGAGCCAAACAGATCACAGGTATATGTTGTTCCTGAACACATGAAACTGACCAATGGGTAATTTAAAAAAAAAAAAATGTGGAAAGAGAATTTTTTTAAAATGATATCTAACTGAAACGCACCAAGAAAGCTTCCTAAAGGCAAAATTAAAACCTAATCATTCATAATACCTTAAATAGCCAGCGGTGAGCCAAAAGGTCTCTTCGTGTTAGCTGGAATGTTTGGGCTCTTTTTAGATTGCAGCCGTCAGTCAAGTGTGGCTTCAGACTTCATTCTGTGCAGCTGAGCAGAACCCAAACAAAATCCCTGCCTGTCTGCAATTTAGGTTCCAGAATAAGAGATTAAAAAAAAATAATTAGGTAAAATATATACTTCTATCATATCACGATGTGCGCTCATGGGGAAAAAATAAGTGCGGAGGGTTGCAGTGCGGGAAGAGGGGGGCAGAAGAGGCATGTGTGCAACAGCGGGGAGGGGAGTCTGACACAGAGACAGAGCAGCACGCTTGCAGTGGTGGGGTGTGCAGTGGTGGGGTGTGCAGAGGCCCTGCGGCACGCTTGCAGTGGTGGGGTGTGCAGAGGCCCTGCGGCAGGACTGTTCGGGAATAATGGGGAAGTCAGAGCAGAGTGACCAGACCACAGGGAAAAGGGGATGGCATAAGAGCAGGGTCTAGAAGACTAGTGATGGATGCCCACAATGCCATCCACACACCTGGGCAAGTGGGAAACATGGAGGTGGGAGGGGACAACCATAGATTTCCTCACTACCCAAAGAGAATCCATATCCCTAGTGGCTTGTGGCGGGCTTCCTTTCAGACTTCTAAATAGAAAGTTGTCCTTTTAAACCTCCCATCAGGAATTATTTGGAAATATGTTGATGTTTTTATTATACTATCATATATATATTATATATTATATATATTCGTTGTGAAATACTTGTTTGACTATGCAAATAAATGTGGCATTTGCTTATGCTGTGGATCATCCTGAAGGACAGCATCTTCCCGCTCATACTCCCTTTGTGACAAAGCCTAGCAAGGATAAATCCCCAAGTCCTGGCACGCACAGTGTCACTGTGGTGGGCGTGAAGAGATATTCTAGGAGAAGGGGTCAGAATCTGCATTCATCATAGGTGCGTGAACAAGCCAAAAAAAAAGTTTACTTAATGTAAGTTTTACCTGGTGCGGGAGAATTGTCTGTATTCTGTCAGGGCCCTCTCATGTTACAGTTACCTGATGTAAGAGTCTCCCAGCCATAGACCCAAAAAAACACGTAGCAAAAGGTATGAAGGGAACATATATGACACAATGACAGGCATGTATTGTGGAACTGCCACACACAGAAGAACCAGAATAAGAAATCTACCATCCACCATCAGATGAGTCACCAAAGACCAGACATCCCAATGCTCTGAAATATTTCAGAGCAGCAAAGAAGGAAGGGAGACATCCTAATTAATTTTATGGAGAAAATATAATAGCCTATGTGGATATAAGATAAAGGAAGAGTAGGAAAATAGACAAATACCACTGGCAAATACCATTGTGAATTTCCTAAATAAAATATTAGCAGAGTTCCACATTACATTAAGAAATAATACATGATGAATTAGTGGGGTTTGTTCAATAATTCAAGAGTTTTTCTAATAGAAACCCATTAATATCATGATACGGGCCCATCTTACTATGATAAATAATACATGCTTTGGAACCTAGGGATAAATTTCAGTTAGTAGAGTGCTTGTCTCGCTGTATGAAGGGTTCAATCCCCAGCACCGCATAAACCAGGCAGGATGGCATGTGCCTGTATTACCAGCACACAACAGATGAAAGTCATGGAGGCAAGATGTTCAGAAGTTCAAGGCCAACCTCAAATACATGAA